GGGACCAGGACAGCACGCTCTGCCCTTTGATGTGCATCATGCTTGAGACGCGCCAGCGAGTCCAAACAGAACGAGCTCCGTGAATAGCAATTAAAAAATCTTTCCAAAATCCGGAGAAAGGCTAGCGTTGGTTCTTTGGCTTAATGCGATGGATAAACTCAACCTTTATGATTCCCGGCTTAGTATTACGTGCTAACCTCATATTCTGGCTTGTTAAACCGACCATGGCTTAGGACAATGTACAGTGCGTGGTCACAAAATGTAAAGTTGAGGGGAGCGGTTTCTCCTTTTTTGCTGCTTTTCCCCGTGTTGTAAAGAGTAAGGCTTTCCAATGTGCAGACGGGACTGATGCTACTACCGGTGTGTATGAGTCGGGAATAGCGAAGCGGACTGAAAGATACTGCTTGCTGTGGTTGCGTTAGGAGTTGTCTAGTTGCTATATTGAAATAAGCCATAACTGACTGATTGGCCCAAGCGTTGCTAGCTTTAAGAGCCCTCCCTCCCCTTTTTTCCTACTCCATGTTTGTCCTTCGAATTCAACCCTAGGGTTGCAACAAGGGAATTATGGCTTAGATCCAGGTCACTTAGGGTTTTTTTGCCTGCAGTGTATTTTCAAGGAACATCCCCCATTCTTTCCTAAAGGGAAACTCTCTCTCCATGGTTCCCAAAAGCATGCCTGTATCTACAGGTAGTCCTTGACTTACGTCCATTCGTTCAGTGACCATTCAAAGTTACAGCAGTGCTGAAAAAATGGACTTAAAACTGGTCCTCGAGGTTCTGGTTGTTGCAGCACCCCCACGGTCACGTGATTGCAATCCAGGAGCTTGGGTGCCTGGCTTTTGATTATGAAGTTGCAGCAAGCCATGGTCACGCTATCATCATTTATGACCTTCCCTGCTGGCTTCCCACAAGCAAAGTCAATGGGGAAGCCTGCAACAAAGGGTGCAAGTCATCCCAGTAAGTAGTTTCTGCTGCTCCTTCTCCCAGGGAGTCATACTCTGTAGCACACCCTCATCCGCCTTCCATAGTACACACCCACAGCAGCCCACACAAGCCTCCGCTGGCCTCCCAGGCCTCCTGACCCACCCATGGCCTCTGCCAGCTCATCTGTGCTCCATAGCAGCTGCCCGTGGCACCTCCCTGCAGCACCCCCTCCACACCCCGCGCTCCCTGCTTGGGACTCCCACCTCTTCCCACTTAACAACCTGCTCGATCCTGGAGTTACAACAAACAGGATTGCAGTCGCTAAGCGATGTGGTCATGTGACACTGCGCTTTATGACCACATTGCTGAGTGATGGCAATCCCTGTCCCAATTGCCATTGTACCCCAAGGACTACCTGTATATGGCAAGCAAAACAGCAGTGTAGTATGACAACTGAATAAGTGGAGTCCTTGGTGCTCTCTGAGCTTGGTTGGTTGGTTGGTTGCTTGCAGACGTTTCATTAGCTGACTATGTAACACTGATAATGTTACCTAGTCGGGTAATGAAATATCTGCAAGCAAATAAAGCAGCTCAAAGAGCATCAAGATCTCCACAGTTCAACCCTGAGCTACATATATTCTCTTCTATCGAAATTTAGTAAGTTTTTGTTTTGCTTTGCTGACAGCTTATTCCAGTATCAATGAAAAGTCAAATGCAGTCTTATTTTCACAAAAAGTCCCAAGGGAAATACCTCTAAAACCCAGTCTATTAATACCATACTTAGTATGAGTACTAAAGAACTTGCAATTAATTCATCTGTATTGGAGAATAGTTGAAATAATATTAAAAAAATAAAAGACAGTGTAATTAAGTAATTACAATAAACAATGCATAAATGGAAATTATTTTCAATTTAAGCATTACTGTTGAAGAACTAAAGAAATGTACTATTAAAAGCTTAAGGTGTAACATGAATTGTGTTCAGTTGTACTCCAAATGACAGCCCTAGTTTAACTATGCTTCTACAGAATGGTATAGATTACAGTTCTTAGTTGAATTCTCAATTACAGAACAGCATTTGGTTTTGGAAAAATAAAATTATACAAAGAGGTCCTTCTTAACATAAATAGATTCTGTGTCAGTTCCATATACAAGACATGATCCTAACACATCTAAACTGTTTACAGATAAAGTTGGATTTGAAATTAAATTTGTAATCTCCATGCGATCTTTAGTAGGATCGTTGCTCAACCATGCACTTATTACAGACTGATTAACTGAAGAGTGAGGTAGAAAGGAAGTATTTCTTCCGCCTAAAATAAAACAGAAATAAATTTGTTATCTTCAGTTAAAAAATGAGAATATATTTATTTTAAATATGATGCAAATATCCATATAATGTATAGATAATACACTGAAATACTTGGCTTTGCCATTTGCCAAAAAATAGTTTACAGTGTGCTCCTCTAGAATAATTTTCACCTTGATTGCTGCCTTTTCATTTCATGATAAGCTATTGCTAGGACTATGTAGAGATCTGGATTTGGAGGGTAAAATGTGATTTGGCACAAATGGGTGTGCATATAGCATCTTAAAGCAGCCTCATCTTTTCTTGGGTTGCACAGCTGGTACATAATTAGAGGAAAAGATACATTCAGTTTAAGGTGTTCCCAACAGGTGCTATTCACGCACATTTCAAATCACATTTGCCCTTTGAATCTGGATCTCTGTACGTCCGTACTAGTTATTAATCCAAAAGCAAGTATTCCAATATTTATGTGTATTTCCTCTATTCTCTTCTTGCAGAAATATGGGGTGGTGAATATGGGCAGAGTGGAAAAATACTATACAATACATGAAAGCACTTTACATTAGAAATATAAGAAATGTTCAAGTTAACTGTAGCAATGTTAGGCTACAGTGAACAAAGAAAAGTTGCTATCTCTATACTAGTCTGCTAGTAGAATGAAATATTTATTTGATTAATCAAAAGTTTGGATAAATCTTACTTGTATGAAGAAAAGATTTTCTTTCAGTCACATCAGAAGAAGCATCCCAATGCCACAAAGATCCATCTTCTGAACAAGTGAACAAATGATCAGGGTTGGAAGGATGAAAGTGTACTTCCCATACTGTAAAAGTAAATACATGACAAATATAATATGCAAAGATAGAACATTCTAAAAAACAATTATTTACATTTCAACATTATGGTAGCAAATGCTTAAAGATTCATTTTGTACAGAAAGATGAACTAGCATGTTCTAATACATGAGAGCAAAATGCCCTAGAGGTTACCAATCAATGCCTTCTATTAGCATATTTCTAAATTCTATATTCTAGTATAGGATATCTTGAAATTGTTTAATGCTTAACTTTTTCTTAATTCAGTTAAGATACTAGTTGTTTCTTAAGAGCCCTGTAGACTAAGAATAGTAGTTATTTCCAGAAATGGTACTGATCAGATAAAGTTAACCCTGAATCACATCTCACACTAATATGGTTTAGTCCTTAGCAGATTGTTAAATAAACCACAGTTGGGTTTATACAAACCATGACTCAGAACAATAGGCCAATTAAGTCAGCATTTCTGGACAATCTTTTATTTCTGAGCAAAAATTCTAAGTAAGCCATAAAAGCAAATGAAGTCTTAGCAAGATATGTGAACCTAGCCATAATCTGATTAAATTTGGAATCCCAATTCTGTGTCCTTTTTCTGACTTTTTCATCCAGTGGATTCTGCCTAGTATATATGCTACTCAGATCACATCTTGAGCTTTCCTGGGAAACTGCTTCATAAGCATAGATTCATTTGCATATACTGAAGATGAGAGAAACAAGAGTTTTTTTTCAAACACAGGTGCTGTGCCAATGTGGCAAAAGATTGTTCCCCTAGTTGTTATTATGACATTAGAAGAGATTCAAGAGTTATCCTGTTTGTTTAGGTACTTACATTCTGCTTCATGAGCATTTAGTAAGGAAACTGGCATGCTGCCTTGTCTTACATCCCAAATACTCAACATTCCATCTTGACTACCTGTAGCAACAATATGTTGTTGATTGGGATGCCTATCAACACAATGTAGTGGTACTCTTTCCCCTGTCCTGCATAGAAAAAGCAGCACACATTTTAAGAAATCACAAAGATTGTAGTCAAAGCACTACTTAAAACCCGAGGGGTATGTACAAACTATCATGCCTTCAAAGCTCTGCTGAAAAGTTTCTGCCAAACTCTGGCAATCTGAAAGAAAACCCAAAAGGCTCGGTTATTCTGGGTTTTAGCTGAAGTAAAATCCAGAAGGATCCTGGAGTAGTTTTAAAAAGGCAAAGTTGGTCTGCATCACCTCTCTCCCTTGAGAGCTTTCAATCTGGCATATCCCCAGCCCACGGATTTTCCCAGTGTTTTCCTTTGCCTTCCTCTCCTCAGCTGCCACTGGCCTGGTTTGCACCCCTTTTCCTTATTGTGACAGAACAGTAAAGAGCAGGCTCCCAGCATAGCATATCCCTGATCTGACTGATCTTACCAGTGCCTTCCTTTCCCTCCTTCACTTCCCCATAGCTTGGCTTTTTCTCACTCGTACTTTTGCATCTAAACAACTATTGTCCAGATTAAAACAGTCCTATTTCAGTTTGCATCTGGAACAAAACATCCAAAACATATATTTTAGTTTGAGCACAGACCACCTAACATCAGCTCTGT